ATTATAAATATATAATAATAAGGTTATACCTTGTCCTAGGCTTCGTATGTGTCTGCATTGAAGTGGAGTACATTCTGAATCAAGGGAGAGCAAGTGTTGATCAATATAAAAAATGGACAAATAATATTTAATTATTAACAGTTTCTGAGCCTATCCTTCAGTTTTACAATGTTGAAAATAACAGGAAATAAAACTCTCTGGAAGTCCGAGAACTTCTTAAAGAGTTTCTAGCTTTTTCTAGACTTGGTAAATATCAGATGCATTGTATCCCAGCCTGTGAAGGTTACAACAAAGCCTGTACTAAGAGGCAACAGACTTAAATAGTCTGACAAGACACTGGTGCATATAACGATATATTGAAGTGTGTGTGTATATAAGAATGTGTGTATCTGAGAGGGTGAAACTTAGGCTTTCGTTAATTCTTCTAGGTGATGATAAGTCATATAAAACTTTGTTTAAAGTATAAGCTTGGGTGGTAAATCTGGTTTTACTCTAAAAATGTGACAACCGGTCTGTTTCAATTTCATTGTTACATTGCCAAGCTAGTTAAAATAGAAGTGTTTTTTTTCCCCTTTTTTTTCATGTCTCTTGAATGAAATTAATATTCAGGTGGCTTATTTGTCTGCAGCACCTGGTAAAAATGGCTGTGCATTTATGTCAGCTACCTAAGCACAGTTATTTTTGCTAAGAAAGCTGGACCTCCATGTTGTTAATTTGGTACTGAATTATAAAGAAGTGGTTGCTTCTAATTTGTTGTTTTTATTAGGTGATGTTTGTTTTGAAGGTTTGTTTGTTTGTTTGTTTTAGCAAGGCAGCCTGAAGCATTCTGGCAGATCCATCAAAGACTTTTTTTCTAGCTGCCACAAACCCCACAGTTGGCTAACATGAGTCTTTCTGGTTCATTGTGGATTGGTTGACTTTGGTAGAACTTGAGAAAATAGCCTGTGTCCATCTTCATGTTTTAAAAATAGCATGATATATTTGGATTTATTAAAATCTGCTTGCAAACAAAGTTTACGTTGACTGTCACTTAATATACCAAAATAATAAGAAAACTGACTGGGTAGTGTCTTCATAAATTGTAAGAGAGTCATGAGTTATGACTGCTTCACTGCTGAAATCTGGCAGGATCTTTTAGTAACCAACAGTACACAGTGACAGATTTGAATGTGGTTGGTTTAAAAAAAAAGTAGTAAAGCCTGTTGACTGGAGTATAACCCTCTATATTCTGTTGTCAGCTCACCTGGAGTCCTGATCTCAGACCAGGGTCCACTTGTGCGAGACACGTAACAGATTTACAACCTGTGTAATACAAGACAATAGATAGAGACAGATGACAAAGAACAGGAAAGAATATTGGTCAGTATTGCTTACATCGACAGGTAAAGATTTATACACTTGTAAGCCCGAAATATTTTTTCTTCTAGTACTCAATGCAAGAAAATTTTGAGGAGGAGGATGAAGCAGTCTTATATAGAGTTTATAGCAGGCTCCCTTAAGACATGTTTGCAGTGTAGGGAGGACTGGGAGCAGGAAGATGTTATTTATTCAAACTAGTGATAGGACTCTGGAGTTGTGGTGTCATAGGCTAATGAATGGACTGGCATTTTGGTACTGAAATTAGAGTAGTAGGTTGTGTAAGGACTTTGAAAGTGAAGATGATTTGTTCTGATGTGGAATAGAAGTAAGAGCCAATGTGGGGGAACAAAGAGAGGGAAGGTACTTTTCTCAAGTACGTCAGCTGAATTCTTATATTGATCTCATACTTTAAAGCCATGAAGAGCCTTTTTATTGTCTAGTTTTAGTGATGTGTTTGTTCGTGTATGTGCATGTCGCAAGTGAGTTTTGCCTGGTTAGAGTTGCTTCAGTTTAGTTTAGTAATGGGTGAGATCAAGGGACTGAGATGACCCTTTGTATCTGGACGTTCCATCAGCTCCACTGTTTAATGAAGCTGCAATTTAAATTTTTAGTACCACAGAAAACCAAGAAGGCTATTGCTGTGTTTCTTGGCTATTTTGAGAGTTGGGAACATGAAAAATGTCCAGATAATCAAGATTCTAAAAGTTGGAAAAATGTGGGTGGTTCTAGGGAATAGGAGCTGAGGGAAGTTGCTCCTGTATCCAAACCTGATGATCACTTGGACTTTGAACTGGCGGTTGGGACACGTAATCAACTCTCTATAGAAGATGACTCAAAACTGGTTGATTCTCTGTGTTCCTTAGTTAGTACTTTGTTTTTGGTCATGTCATTGAAAGGTGGTGTGTTAAACCAGTGCTTGAGATCCTTCTAAAAATTTTATAGCTATTAAATGCTTTAGTATGGTAGGTACTATAAAACACTTCTGTGTAATCTGCTTAGCCCTTTGTGATTCTTTGGAAGAAGAATGAATGAGTCTGAGAATTACCTCGTAATTGTTAAGGCTTACGTTTGTTTTAAGTTTGGTTAACTCCAAAGTGAAAAATGGGATTTGCTTTTTTGTGTGCTTTCCTGTGAGCCGTGCTAATGTGCTCTTCGTGCTTTCTTGTTCAGAACTAGAAACTGGTGATTTGACAAGGAGAATTCCTCAAATGTGATGTTTAGACTTGTGACTGAGTTTAAAGCTGTTGAAAACTTTATGGTGTAATAATATTTTCCTTATTTTCAGATTAACTGCTGAAGTACTGATCGAGTTCTGCTATTCTTCAATGAGGAACTACAGGCTGATCTTTTGCCATAATCTTAAACAACCATAAATGACAAAAGAATGCTTGGTCAGTGAGGGCAGCTGGCGCAGAAAACGTTTTTCAAACTCGGCTGTTTAAGTACTCTGAGGTAGGTTTCTTAAACTACTTGGGCTATTAAAAAAAGATACTAACAGTATGTTCTTGATGTTCTGTGTGCTATCCCCTTGCATTTAAGCAAGTATGTTTTTTTTATTTATTTAGAAAATACAGTTGTTTCTCTGCTAGAAGGAATATTTTGGTTTTGACAGGAATAACAGTTTAACAGTGACTTACGCTGACTTTGGTAATGCCTTTTTTACCTAGCTAGATCCTTTATCAAGCAAAGACTTGCAAGTAAAGCTTGAGCTTCTGCATGATAGGAAGAATGGTGTCACTGAGCATCTAGAAACTAGTTTTGGAGGTCTTATGTTCAGTGAAATTTTTAATTTGATGCAGGTGTTGAAAGCTTTATTGTGTAGACTAGAAAATGCCAAATATATTAGAAGTTGATTGCACTGCAGTTGTGTATCACTAAATACTTAATAATTTCCTGTAACTAAAGCTTGGGGGTTTGTTTTGGTATGATCCATGTGTTTCATTTCCTTTTGAGAGGCTTTTGTGTTGGATTTTCTAAGCCTGACTGATAAATACTGTCAGAAAATGTATTGAGGAATCTAGCTCTCCCAAAATACCTTAGAACTTAAGTAACAATGTTGTAACTAGAATTTTCTGAATTTCGTTTTCTGCCATGTATGTTCTTCTCCGTTCTCTATTGAGGATTGAACAGAACACCTTGGTAATAGTCATTTATGTAGTTAGCTGTATTTGGAGTCATTACAGAACTTTTAATTAAATCAGTGAACTGATTGAGAGAGACTGGAGAGTATTTGCATTGGGCAATTAAAACGTATTGTGTTACAGATCAATACATTCAACAGTGTTCACTCAAGTATGATTTTTTTGATTTTACTTCCTCTTGTTTGACAGAAAAGACAGCTTTGATTTTTGGCTGCAAAAAGATATGAGGAAGAGCTCCTCCCCTTCCTTGAGTAACTGCAACTCTGTTCTTGCTAACAAAATATTTGGAATTCCACTTGATGAGCTGCAGCAAGAAGGGCAACCAGACAATGAGGTTCCATTCATAGTCCGCCATGTCGTGGACTATATTGAGGAACATGGTATGTATTATCTTGCTGTACTTTAAATAATATATTTAGCTGTTATTCTTATAGAATAGATTGTGGTTTTTGAAGAGTGTTTGTTTTCTGAAGTTACTTATTTAATTGGATGTGATTTGGTTGGGTTTTTTTTTCTGGGCAAACACACTTCCTTTCTTTGCTCCTTCTGTTATGTTTGATTATCACTGTTTTCTAGCTAACACTAATTGAGTCAGCTCAGCAGGGTACTTCATAGGAAATGGTGGGGTTTAGGTACTGCTAGCATTTATCTTATTGTATCTTTAGCTGGGCATATGTGTTTGCTGAGAAAAGGACTGCTGGAAGTCTTGCAAAACTGTTGTCCAGAAAGCCTTTCATTCAGTACGTGAATTGTGTGTATCTGATTATCAGTATTTTCTGATACATTTGTCCATACTAGATCTAAAAGTTTATTTCTGCAACTTCTTTCCGACTCAGGGGGTCTGGAACAAGAAGGACTTTTTCAAGTCAATGGGAATGCTGAGACAGTGGAGTGGCTTCGGCAGCGATACGATAATGGAGAAGATGTGGACCTGGTTAAAGAAGCAGATGTACCCTCAGCTATTAGCCTTCTTAGATTTTTTCTTCAAGAACTTCCAGAGCCAGTTATCCCCGGCAGTTTGCACATGCGTTTGATGCAACTTTCTCAAGGTAATAATTATTTTTAATTTAGTGTTTTTGTTTTATTATTTTAAGAGTAAAAGCCAGTATTAAATTGAGATGTGTAGTGGCACTAGGGTGTCTGGTGTTCTGTGTAATAATGTGTCTATCAGGAGGCATTCAAGTATACTTTTTCTTAGCACAAAACCCAAATAAATAGGTCTTTTTTAGGAAACTCAGTCTGGGTTCAAAGACATACAGGAAAATAGTGAAGCTGCCACATATAATGCTGATTAGTTCTGGATATTCTGTGTTCTTGTGCGTGAATACTGGTTGAAACCACTGGAACCAAAGTTGTTTGACAGTTTCCCACCACTGATGCTTTAAAAGTGATAGGGAATGCTTTTGTCTGCTTTTCTCATTTTCTCTGAACTTCCCTTACTCTGCCTGTGCTTCCACGGCACTTAGAGCTTTTCTATACTGGAGAAGAGATCTCAAGCCCTATACTCATGTCATATTTGCTCTCCCGCTGTGTATTTTTTGCAGTTTAAAATTCATTTGCAGGAGGAAAAAAAACCCTGTTGTTAGCATATTGTTGCTAAGGTTGTTTTTTCATATGCTGCAAAACCTTGCCCTTTCAAATTGACACCCATATGCTGGCACAGTGTTTTCTTTAGCAATTCCCAACTTGTCTATCTGTGTCTGCTCTCCTGGGTCTTTTGGCCTCTGCTGTGTTGAGTGGTGTTGGAGTTGATTCATAACTTGACTAGTAAGAATTCTTGTCTTGCAGCACTACATTAGTAACGTCCTCCAAGGGTTGGAGTTCTGCACCTTGTGGCATAACTGAGGGCTTTGCTCGTTGTCACTTCACAGGAGTGTTGCTCATTTTCCAGTGTCAGTTCATACTTCTTGTCAAGTACTGGGCTTGGTTTGCTTTGTAAGATGCACATTTTCTGATTTAATTTTTTGTTGTTGAGTTTATTCCTGATAAGAACTTGATAACCCTCATGATAGTCCCATTTGTTCAGAGTGGGAACTGGTTTGTAGGAGGAGTGAGCATAGCAGAGTTTTCATATGCTGTTATGCTACATTTGCCAAGTGCTAAACTGGAGGGTCATCTGCAGCAGTGTGAAGCTGCTTCATTTTCCTCACTTGATAGCCCAATTATCCTGAAACTTTGAATGTGGGTTTATCAGGATAGCTCGTGAGCAGGGGTTGAACGCCAGTGTGCGAGGCACTGAATAGTCTTGCGCTGGTAACAATTTTTGGAAGCTACTGACCAGAGAAGCTTGATAAGACTGAACTTCTGTTAGTTTGTTTGAGAAACTGAAGTGGATAGGGAATTTCATTAGTGATATGTCTGCAATTTGGTTTGCGTTGTTAAGGTCATGGTTACTTGGACGGAAGTAGATAGTAAACCATAGTTTGTTGTTTTTTTTTTCCCTCCTGAAAAAAAGAGGATAAATAACAAAAGGATTCTTAAGACAGTAGTGCAGAGTTCTGCTGGTTGCTCAGCTAATACTGCTGTACCCCGTGATTTGAAGTATTATCTATCAGGACTAGAAGTGGGATTGAGGTATATTTACTGGGTGTGACAGTGTAATTCCCTTCTATGACTTGGAAAATACAGTGTGAAAATTGGGTTTTTTCCATCTTTGAATAGGTGATTGTGGAAGGATTTACCTATGGGTTGTTTTGGAAAAGAGCCATTCCTCAGAGCCTAAGTCCCCATTTAGTTCCCTTTTGTTAAATATGCAGAGAAACTTCACTTAAACTTGCAGCTTATTGTCTTTACTGTCTCTTTGTAAAGTGTAAAATATAGTGATTTCAGAAAGATTTGAAGTTATCTGTACCAAGGAAGTCAAAACACATAAACCTTTAAATGTTTCTTGATACTAAAATTAGAGTTTCAGTTTCCTCTGCTCAGGTTTTGGCTTTTGATGTTTTGGCTGTCTGATAGACATATCTCTGGTAGTTCCCAGAATTAGGGTATCAGCTGCATTTTAGGCAGAGGAATTGGTTACAGAAATGCAGAAAGTGGAAATAATTTTGAATCACTGTTACTTCTGGTAGTTCCCTCTTTAGCATGCCTTCAGTATCATTAGGTTAAGCTCAGTTCTCAGAACAGCTTAGTCCACACCTTGTTGTATAACAATGTATGTCTTTTGAGCCTTGTTCCGTGCAAGCCTAGTGGTGATTCCTCAAAGGCAAATGATTTCAGTAATTAAGTGTGAATTTGACCCCAGTTTGCTAGGCCATGTTCTCAGAAGTGTGTATCCATGGTTTACTGTCAGAGGACTTCGGTTACTGATAAGAATGTTCTCACTTCAGGTCTCTGGCTGTTGTTTAGAACCTGAATTTTAGGGCAGATTGGTTAGCCAGATATCTGTGTATGTGCCAGGTGGCCAAACAAATGCAAGTCAAATTCTGAGATTTTAGGCTGTGGTCTGAGCAAATTAGTTGTACTTCAGAAATAAGTAATTGTGGTCAGAGTTGATCAGTATCAAATATGAAAAAACAGATATTTTATTTCTGTGATTAAAATATTTTTTATTATATTTTTCAGATGATAATAATGAAGATGAATTTGGCAGAAAGTTGAGGTTCCTCTTGCAGCAGCTTCCACCTGTTAATTACAGTTTGTTAAAGTTTCTGTGTAAATTTTTAGCTAACGTAGCATCACATCATGAAGAAATTTGGTCGGCAAGTTCTTTAGCTGCAGTCTTTGGCCCGGATGTTTTTCAGTAAGTTAGTTATAAAAGTTCACGCAGTGTTTTTATGTGAATTTTACAGTGTACATCTATAGTCTAAAGTCTTTTCTGGTCCATGAGTAAAAGCAGCAAGTTTTGGTAATATCTATCTTTCCTTGTGTGTCTCCTTGCCCCAGTCCCTCACCCCAGTTTTGTCTTACAATTTTTGCTTGGATCTAAACAACCGCTTGTCTGTGAGCTATGGCATTAGAAACCACTGATTTGATTGTTGCATTACTGTAAGAGTGGGGTTCAAATTTTTTAGAGATAGCGTGTAGGCTTACTATTTGTAGCAAGAAAGCAGTTCTGGGAGAACTTTTGTTAAAGTACAGACATGTACTGGGGTTTCCTCTGTGCGAGAAAAAGCTTGAATTTTAAATGTTGCTCATGAAAAGTTAATTGAGTAAATAGTTGTCACTTCATAACTTTTAAATATAAACTAGTAAAATGTAGAGTGCTTTATAATGCAGTAGTGTGAAAGTATGCTTAAAATTCTGTGTTCAGAATGGGTTAGTGATAATGGTGTGAAGTGTAGCCCTTAGTCACAGAAGTCATTCACAGGAGTTCTTAGGGGAGACAGTTGGATTAAGGTTTTTAAACTAAAACACTGTTGAAATCTTTAGCATTTACACAGATGTGGAGGATCTGAAAGAGCAAGAAATAGTTAGCAGAATAATGGCGGGACTTCTGGAGAACTACTATGAATTCTTTGAAAATGAAGAAGAAGATTTTTCATCTACTAATGATTTAAGCTCAATAACCGAGCAGGTAAGAATATTTTAAATATGCCAATATATTATGACTTAAGTATCTGTTATACACAGGTGTTTATGACAGATATGCTGAAATGTAATTTTTTTAGTATGCCTTTTGGTAGTTGTTTGCAAACTGACAAAACCTGGTATTTCCTTAAATGCATTTTCTTAACATAGGTATGCTTGTGAAATTGTTGCTTTGTAATAAGTATAGCTATGCTGTATAGAAGAATACATAAAAACTAAACCAACGCTAATATCCTGCCCAACATAGACACTGTTATGCAATATAAACAGTATAGCTTTTTAATTGCCTTTTTAGGAATGGAGAACTGTTTTATAAGCCAGTGCAGAACCACACTGTTGTTGGTCTAGGTCAATAATATTTCTAGGTGTGTCTTACAGAAACATGCAGGGTCTCGTACTCCACTTGATGATGTTATCAGTGGTGTTTCCCTATGCCAAAATTTTTTTAATGAAGTTTATGATTCTAAGGCTTCAAAATATAATCTTGATTTTAGTAGTGAAAAGTTTGGAAATTAGAAAAACAAAGTTGAATAGAATAGAAATACTCTGGGTCCTGGTACTCAACTGTCAGTATTGTCAAATTTACCTGTCCGTGTGAGTGATGGTATCCATTATTGCTCTTCTGCCTTTCCTCAAAACAAATTTAACTTTCTGAAGTAAAATACCATGTCATGGTGGGATAAATAGGGATGGAGAGTTGTTAGGGAAATGAAACTGCTGTATTGTAATACAACCTTCTTCTATTGGGAAATATTTTTAATTCTAACGAGTTAAGGTATATGAGTGATAATGCATGGAAGAGGTACTTTTGTATAATCAAAGCCAAGTTCATGGATTATTAGTCAAATCTTGTCTCAACTCCTTCCTCAGAAATGTGGAAAGCTATAAACTGAATTCTCTGATTGGCTTGAGAAATAATGTCTTTTCTTTAAAGAGGAAAAAGGGTAAATACCCAGCAGTTGCTGAGGAAGGTAACAAGAAATACCGAGTTTTTAAAGCTTACCTATCCCACGAACCTCTCCTCTAGCAAGACAGGTACGGCAAGTACTAGGGCAGCTGGTTGCTTCCTCTTCACTGCAGTAGACACCTCACTCGTGGGTCTGGTCTGCCAAGCGTGGGCAGCAAGTTCTGGATTGAGCAGCTTCTGTCTGCTAGCTCTTGTAGCAAAGTGCTGCAGCTTTGCAGTGTTTGCTGTCTCTTCAGCTCTTTGCGGGACTATGTCTAGCACTGGGAACTGACGCAGCCCTGCTGCATGCAGGAAGCTGTTAAATACAGCTGGACTCAAACTTGTACAATTGGAGGCTGAGGGCTATCTCCTGACGTTGGGATGACTGCTCTTTAATGTATAGTTAGTTGGTCTGTGCTCTCATGCTTTGAAATTACTGACTTGTCTGTGGGTCATTATATGTTTTAGCAAAGGGATTTCCCAGGCATAACAGCCTGTGTGGCGTGTGGTTTTGGTTTTTTTTCAGTGAGTTTGTGACCTGGTGGGGTGTCCCTTGAATTTCGTGGTGTCTCCACCAGATGTCAACAGTGCACTGCTGTTGGGTCCTGCTCCCTCCCGGGCGGGTGCAGTGGGGGTGCAGAAAGGCCGCTCTCCACACTGGGTGCAGCCCCCCTGGCAGCTGGCTGTTGGGGGGGGGGCTTGCCCTTGGTTCCCTGACATGTCCTCTTGCAAATACAGAGGAAAGTCGAGGATAAATAGGATTCTTTCCCTGAATGTAGTGCCATATAACATATCACACCCCTCTTAAATACATACCTCCTCTCTGCCTTCTGTGTAGTCTTAAACTTCTAAAGTTTCACTTTTTCTTAATTCAGTGGTTTTGTTTAATACTTGTGTGGCAGATATTATATCTTGAGGCTATTGCTGGTACTTTAATTCTTGGGTTTGCAGGTTTGGGAGATCAGGAAACAATCACATGGTAGTTTTGCAAATCGCAACTTTGTCTTTACCTTTTTATGTTTTAGACATAGTTGCTTTTTTAAAAATGAAGGTGGCTGTATTGAATTGTCAGTTGGCTATATTGTTTTCAGTTTTAAATTGGCTATATTTTTTACTGCTTCAGTAAAAACATACTGTGTGTTTCAAAACAAAGAAACAAAAATAGACAAGGGACTTGGCAGAAACTTCTCAATGCGTTTGCCTTTGTAAGTATTCGTTCAGTACTTTAAAGTTTGGATTCTTAGACTTCTACATTGCCTTCCATAGAAGGGTTTGAAAGTGTTTCTCACATGTGACTAAGGCTACTTATGGAATAAAGGAGAATTATCTGTCCCTGTTTTATATGTAGAGGAAGAAAGGTTGTATGCCTCATGATTTCAGTGTGGCTGGGATTTTGTTGCTTCTTGATTCTGCTTGTGTTCATTTACTGCATCAAAGGTGCTTCTCTTTTAATATTTTGTTCAATGTTTCAGAAGGGTTATGTAGCTTTTTTTATTATGTGAAATGTATGGTTTTGCATAAAAGCAAGTATAATGTGCCTGTTTTCTAAAACAGAAAAATGACAAGTATGTTGTTTTTATACCTCTCATGCTGTTTTAATTCCTCAGACCTCTGAAAAGTACTTTTCAAGCCATTAACTGTGAATAAATATTTTGATTAGATCAATGATCTCTTGGAAGAGGAGGAAGATGTCAAGCTTGAGCAGTCTGAAGAACTTCCAGAAGATGGCACAGAGAAACCTGTTGAAAGGCCGGCTGTGGTGCATCTCGACATGACAGGGAGTCTCGAGGATTCCAGGAGCGTTACAGCATCAACAAGGTAGCTTGCTTCTTACTTGGAGTTTGGACTTAAAAGGTCGGAGTGTTCTGCCTGAAAGAGAGAAGCTGTCAGGCTTTTGAGATAAATGGTGGTGTCTACAAACTGAAGCTTTAGAAGCAGGTGCAGTTCTTGTAGTAGTAAAATACGGGATAAAATAACTGTTCCCAAATTCAGAAGAGGAATGCCTGTAGAACTCAGATTGGATTAACTACGGTGATTTATGCAGTGAAAGGGGAAAAGGGCATATTTTAGTGAAACTGTAAAGTGGTATTTAAACAGTAAATTTTGTAGCAGAAATGCATTTACATTCTACAGATAGTGAATTTTAACTTTTCCTATCTACAGCATTTGTTTGGTATGGGCATGTATGAACTTGTAGGGAGGGGTGAGGAAGTGTGACTCAGTAAAAGTGAGACTAAAAGCAGAAGAAATGCAGGGAAAATCATGAGTAAGTTTAGTGCCTAAGACTGAGTAGTCTCAAGAATGTGGATTTCAGGTTGAAATCTGTTCAGCTGCTTGACTGCACCCGTCCTTCTACTTCATTGCAAGAATTTGTAAAATATAAAATAATAAGAGAAACATAATTCTGTTTTGTAATTTAAATTCTATTTTATTAGTTAATTATGCTTGTCAGCAATAGAGCTATTTAATTTTAGTTGGAGTTAAATAAAAAAAAAAGTGGCTGCAATTGGAATTTCCACAAAAGTGTTCCTTCTTCCAATTAAAGTTTTAAAGCAATTTAACTATTCACAGGTATTTAGTTGCTTGTGAAACATGTAAGAGCAGCAGAAGTGACAAACTCAACATGTTTGAGAGTTTAAATTTGATAGCCTAAAGAGAAAAACATTTTTACTTGATGTTTAGGGTTAATTAAAAATTAATAGGCATTAATTATGGTTTGTATTTTACATAATTTGTGGGGACGGATAAGGAGGAATCCTGTAGAAGAAGAAAGAGAATTTTGACTGTAAAACCAGAACAAGTGCAGGAGGCATTAAAAAAAAAAATTAGAGTATGAGAAAGTATGCTTTATTAAACTTCTAACCACTATAAATACTGTAAATATTTTTCCAAACTTAAAGGCTTTCATCGTGTGCATTTAATGGCCTTTGTTTTAGTCTCTTGATGTAAAAAAATAGTAATTAAGGAAAGCAAATGTTAATGCAGGTTTATTGGGACGTTTGTCTTGACATAGGGCCTGCAGCAGCTTGTAAAGGAAAGAGGAGGAGAAGTAGATAAACGTGATTCTTGGAGTTCCTTAACCTGGAGTTTTGTTGCCTCTTTGCTGTTGTCAAATTTTGGGAAATGAAAAGCTCTATATTTTGGTCTCTTTGTGGAGAGAAGGAAAAGAACGCTGAGGTTGCATGTTCTGCATTTTAAAGATTGGTTATCTTGAGTTATACGATGGGGTGTATGACCTTTCTTCTAGCTACTTGGTCTATAACTCGCTTATGATTTTGCTCACTGCCTTTTTTCTTTACTCGCTCTGTTTGTTCTTTTGAAAACATATGACCTTCATGTACTGCATGGTGTTGATTTGACTTTGAGTCAGAGAGAGATCTGGTGAGAATGTGGATAATCACTAATGTGGTTTGATTTAGTGACTGCTTGAAAATGGTGTTTGAAATAAACCTGTTGAGTGATCTGTAAGCCCGTTACCCCATCAGGGAGCATTTGTTGCACACCGGTTGACATTGTGTATATAAAGGAAAGATCGTATTCTCTGTTATCAGAAGCCTCTTGACCATATCTCTTTCGGTTTTACTGTCCTGACTTTCAGATAAAAGAATTACTGACTCAGCATTGCAGCTGACTTTTAAGATGTGCTGTTGAAATAATCACTTCAGAATTTTCTTGTCAGTACTCCAAATTTTTCATCACTGCGCCTTGACAAGCACTATTTGCTTTTCTTTTTGCAGTTCATCTCAACTATTGTCAGTCAAAAGCCTAATATAAAAACCCTTCATGTGTTCTTTGAACTTTTTGAAAAGATATGTGTAAAAATATAAGATAGGATGAGTAGTAAGTTCTGTAAACAGTTTGCTTTGTCTATATTAAATGCAATGAAAAGGGTGAGCTCCTAAGTGCTTGTGTGATACTCTTGTTAACCCTTTTTTGTTTTAATTAGCTCTGATCAGTGAGGGAGAGGCATTAATAACAGCAACAAAGTGAGACAAAATCCATATATAGTAAGGCTAACAAATTCAACAACTGCCTGAATTGCTAGAAAATACATTGTTATTTTAGTTTAGCCCTCTCTTTAACATCCAAATACTTGTCCCTGCTTCCGTCCTAGAAAATCTGTGAACAGCACTGTTAGGAAAGCTTTCAAGTGTTGATTGGGCAGCTTATTGTCAGGAGTGACCTCATGTTGCAGTCTATTTCTATTTAGACTGCAGGGTTTAGTGCAGCACTCCAGAAGTGCTGTCTGACAAGCAGCCATCGAATCGCAGCGAGCAGTATGCATAACCAGCAGCCTACATCACGCTTTGCTGTTTTTCAAATGAAGCAATTTTATACTAAGTGCTCGTTTGGGATAGCAAAAATAATCAGAATGGCCTGTAAAGTTCTCCTGCACAGGTAAATGTCTGAATGGAAAAAGTTGCTTTGATATGATTGCAAATAAGACTTCTTGTAACTTTAAAATTATGTGAGACTAAATGTATTTTGGAGATACTGTGAAATGAAATAATGTCGCAATTGTTGTGTTTTTATTTTTTTTTTTTCTTTAAGGAGAAATAAGAATCTGTGTAGTTAGTAAATTGCCAAGAAAAACTTGGAAACATTTTATCTCTAGTTAATGTATTTTTCTCTCTCAAGGTATGTTTTTACCGGGACTTTTTATGGGTAGGGAGACAGTGCAAAAGGGATTATTCTCGGGAATGTGTCAGTGTTATAAAACAAAGATGTTTACCTTTCTGTGTCTTGCTGTGTCATGCTGCATTAAGACTCTGTGTAGCAGTATGAATTACAGCTTTTAAAAAGTATCCTTGAACTGTGGTATATAGGTTCAGAAGTTGCATTTTCAGTTAAGAGCGATTGACACATTTCTTTCAAAAAGTGCTTAATTGATAAAGTAATTAGTTTAAGACATAAGATATTCTTTAGGTAGTAAGAGGATTCTTCAGGCTTTGCAGTACTGCTGACTTATGCACGGCTTTTGCTGAGTACCTCTAATGCATCTGAAGTTGGTTAATAAAAGCACTGGTGAACGATCCTACGCTAGGGGCTGAAGGTTACGCAGTGATGGAGAATTTTGTTGTGAACCATGTCATGTAATCTTTTAGGGTCTTTGGAGATGAGTTTGATTCTCCCCACTCTTAACACAGTTCCTCATTGTCTCAAGTGGTAGAATAAAAGGTTTTCAGGTCATCACAGTTTCCTATAAATAGTATTTGTACTTGTGCCCTTGACTGATTTTTTTTTTTTTTTCTTTTCCCTGTCTTTTACAGTTAGAATGTTGCAGTGTTCTGTGCTCTGCCTTTCTTTTCCCCCATTTTGCCCTAGGAGTAACTGTTTTAATAGTAAATTGATCTCAATGTGTACAATTCTGTATTAGTACATTTAGAAAGTAAGAATACCTTTTATAATGCAGCTTTTGTAGAACTTCCTGAAAATACTGAGTATGGGTACTTAACATTTTTTCTGTTTCGAAATCCTACTATTTTTTTCTCCGAGATTCTTGCTCCTCCTCTTATCTTGTTTGTGGGGCTGAACTTATTCAGAGAGTTATGTCTTCATTTTTTTTATTTCAAGTATTGTCAAAACAAAAATTGTTTATCAGAAAACTTAAGTTTGTACAAGGAGTAGGGTTGTGCTGAACTGTGCACACAAGTATCAATGAAATGTAAATATCTGAAGTTTTTTCTTACCATTTGTTTGTTTGAAAGAAAAAAACTGAAATGGCAAGTGTGTCCACGTTCAGTCGTTTGATCCAGCAGCTTTGAAATTAGTGGCTGCAAAATCTGGCTTCTACATCAGGTGTTTAAATTTTCCAAAGCTATGTGGCAATGTCTGTTTTGAAACAGTAGTTTAGAGCTGCCTGTGCTGTCAAAGCATTTGGAATAGATCTGCTTTGGCTTTTCGTATGAGCAAACAACACAGAAATCATAAAATGAGCTTGATTCAAAATCAAGTTTCCATTAAAAAAAAAAAAAGAATTTACAAACTTCTGTGAGCACCTGCTGGTTCAGTTGTTACATGGTGGTGTTTAAATACAGTGTGTCTTGCTGTTGGCCCAGTGCAAACTGTCTAAGGCGAAAGGGCATAATTATTTTTAAATAAATAGTTTAACCACTTTCCTTATCAGGTATCAGTGAAAGTCCTTTATTACTTGTCTCATCTGCTTAGAGGAAGAAAAAAAAAAGTCTGCTTCAGGTAGTCTAGTTGTCTTACCTCTCTGGTGCTGGAATTACTAATAAACTTGATAAGATCTAACCAAGATATTCCTTGCTGTATTAAAACTTGGGTAAGCAGAGAGACTTTCTGTGGTTTTCAGTGCAAGCAAGACTAATATCAGTCAAAACTATCTTGCAGAGGCAGTACCTGTTCAGTTCTCCAGTGGAATGGGAAGCTCCCTCGTATTTCAAGGTTTACTTTATGCATTCATGAAAAGAATATTTAAAATCAACTTTGTCTGCCCACAGTGTTGGTGCATGGTAGACTAAAATTTTGTTTTTCAGCTTTTTGAGCTTAGCTATATATAATAGGAAGAAAAAGGATTTGTTTACTTCCCTCCTCACTTCCTACTTGAAATGAAGTTAGTATTTATTTTTTCCTGAATAAGGCATTTAAGGTGCAACGCATTGCCATTTACAATAGTTTTCCTCTTTTATTTCATTCTTAGCATATTTACTGACACTTTGTCTAACATTTAAGTATTCTGTTTATTATGACAGAATTTTGATCATATTAATGGAAAATTGAAGAGGGAACACACACACGAGTTAACTGGAACGTAGCTGTGTTAGTTACACTGATTTCCACTCTTCCATGTCTCCTAGGAGTTTAATGTTCTAGGCTGAAGTGGCTTGTGCTGGGAGACTTGCACAGGCTTTACAATTAACTAGCTTGTGTCTCAAAACCTCTGGAAGGTACCAGCCCTGCACTTGAAATGTAGCTGTCGTTGGAGAGCGCTGCAGAACAAAATTATGCAACAGTCTTACAGGCAGGGAGGAATCTCTATGAATTGCAGCTGTGGAGAAAAGCAAAGTAATTTGAAATTTGCTTTAGGCTGCAAGGTTAAAATCTGCATTCTTAAGCAAGATGTCGGGAAATCTTTGGAGACTAAGTGATTAGTATTTCCCATGGGAAAGACTGTACATGTGAGAGCTTATAGCTTCATAATACACTGAGTATTGCCTCTTGAGAGAGAGATCTGTGTTGCTGCTTCTACAACTTTGTCTAATGATGACGTTCTTTAAGATTTCTTCATCTAAATAATAAAGGGGCTGCAGATCAGTGTTTGCTACGTATTTATTCTATTAGCCACATTACAAGTGGTCTTTAAGTATTTTCTAAGTTGCTTTCTGTTGACTTCAAGACTTTTATTTAGTGTGGTAAGTTTTTGCATTACATTAACTTATTTCTTCTTTGTTGCAGTGCTAATATCTCTCCCATAAGTATCTTGCCAGCCTCTGCAGAGTAAGTATAATGAAAATATATAAAATGTTTGAATTAAGCTGTTACTAAAACATGCATAGAAGATATGTCTTCTTTCAAGGAAAAAAAATGCACTAAGTTTGATGATTACAGTTACGAATGAACATGTTCCTGTGTGCACTATTTCACTTACAGCATTTAACAGTAACGCAGGAAAAACCTAGTGTGTGTCTGTTTACAGCCCGTTCGGGAGGGGTACAGCCTGCTGCGCTGAAGTGGTACCTGCTCCAGGATTGACTCGGACCTGTTTCAGACACACAGTTTTACTGTCTTGTTAATATATTAGGCTTTTATAACTTTTTTTTAATAGCTACTAAAAAAAAAGTTGGTCATTGTAATTTGTTGATTACTCTTAAAATACTGTGAATAGACTTCATAATGTGTTATGTAAATCTTATGAAATAAAAGCTACTGGGTGCAGTAATTTCCACTGCCTTTTTGGAAGAGTTAGCCTCTTTTTGCCTTGAAGTATTTGTCATCAAAGATTCCTGTCTTGTGTGAAGTTTGTTGTCTCTGCCTTTCTGCATAGTTGATCAATGCAAAAGGAGGGTTCTTAACATGGTTTTTCTGTCTTTTTTTCTTTTTAGCATTTTGGAAAGAACAATTAGAGCAGCTGTGGAACAGCACCTTTTCGACCTGCAGAGCAGCTTAGATAACGATCTGAAACACATACAGCAACACAGACTGGGCTGTAACAATGAAGCAAAAAATCCCAGCGGGGATGAGGAAGGATCTAACAACCAGTAAGCTGGTTTTTGGGTTTTGGTTTTTTTGTTTTGTTTTGGTTTGGTTTGGTTTTTTTTTAATCTGTAATGAGTTCCCTAGGATTGTAGATCTTAATGCTTCCAAAACAAAGTACCCCAGTCCCCCACCTCAACCCAAAACAAATGTTATGAATTTTTGCTATTAACTTCAATTTATCTCATGTGCTAAACCAAATCAGCTTCCATCAGTTGCGAGTAATCAACAACCCATGAAGCAAATATTTTAAATTGATCTTATAGCTAAAAGTGTTGTGAAGTATAACTGTTTCACTGCTGAATTCTGTGCAAGTAGCCCAAGAACTTAAATTTACCCCTGTGCTTTCATTCTTATCTCACTGATGGTACATATGATGCAATTTTACTGTATGAAAGCTATTGTAGGTGCTATTTCAGTTTCTTTACCCTGTTTTTCCATGTCAACGTAGCTATTTTACTGCTCTGGCTGCCAGTGTCAACAAAAACAGCTAAAAATGGATAGAATGAGCACTTAGAGTTTATTTGCATAGAGTTTCAGCCTCATTCGATCAGCTTTTATTTTTATTAAAAATCTTGCCAGGTTATGGGTGTAGTGATTGCCACAGCAGCATTGAGAAGTTGGTACATTTTGGTTCTTTATTAAAAATAAATGGTCATGATTAATATCCAAACTCCAAAAGTGTGTAGTTAAGTAGGACTTCAGTACCTAAGTTGCTGTGTGACTCAGGGCTGAAATATGTGAAGTATTCAGAGACTCGAATGCTGTTCTCTAAATTGTTCCATCTTTACTGTTTTTAGAAGTCTTGTCTGTGACAAGAGGTCAGACTAAAGTTAGGAGCTGATCATAAAAGTAATAATCATTGCTGGTAAAGATGAATTAAAACTGAGTTTTAGTGTTAGAGAGTTAATGTCTTTGAAGTAATTTATAAGTAAGTGAGTAATCGCCTGAAAGACCTGTTGTAGCTGAACTCCTTCAGTTACAGCACAAGTGCTTTAAAGGCTGGCTGGCTTCACAGAAGCGGAGGCTGGAAGTACCATCACTGCAGGTTTGAAACCAATATACTCTTTTGGCACAGTGACTATTTCAAATGCTTCTGATAATCATTCCACTGTGGATTAACTGTAATAGAGGATACATGATAGTGTTCTTGAAAGAGGTCATCTGGGTCCTTTAAAGCAGTACCGCCAGCAGACTGTGCACAAGGCAAATACACAGTTAAATGAATAAGTAAAAAATGCAGTGATCCAGTCCAGATTTCTTAGAAATAACCTAAAATAATTGCCAGACTTCAGAAAAAAAAGAGTTAAATTTTTGATTTCTGAGCTATCTTGCTTAGTATCTATATATCTGACAGAGGAGGAGCATTTTTTTAGGTAGCTTGGAATTCTTTGTGAGCAAGAAAAAGGAAGGCAAGGAGGTCAAAGGCCAGTGATGAATTACCAAAACATGTGGTACCAGGAATGATGGAATTAAAGAATATATGGATGTAACTACAGTAGTTAGTTTTAATCTGGTTGTACTGTTAAAAGTCTTAAGTTGGATTCTAGGAAGATTAAATGTTAGAAATAATGGGATTTCTCACTGTAGGGCATCGTGGTGATACTAGCAGGCTTCAATACTGAGAGGAATGCAGCCACAGCAACTTCAGTGAGTTGCAGTAGTTTCAGTGTGTCTTTGCTTCTGGCTGTTGGCACTTGTATTCCTTAAGTCAGCATAGTAAGTGGGGGATCTATGCCTGACCCTTAATAATAAAATAAATGCATTTTAGTGTATGTCATGTACTGTTGTGGAAAATCTCAGTAGTATATATAAACTACATAAATAAATAAATTTGCCTACAGGTGATTGAAATTGTAGACATTTCCAGTGTCTTTGGTCAGAATAATTTTGTTGGGGAAAAAAAACAAACCACCCTGATGTTTTATACTGTATAAGGAAAAAAAAATGTGTGGTGTTTTTTTCTTTTAAAGGTGGTACAACAGGTTGCTAAAGACTTTCTGTTCTTATCTTTAGGAATGATGTTATTGAAGATAATGACACTGGTAGCAGTGAGAACACAGGAGACTGCTCTGAAGTGTTGGTTTGCACTGAATTAGACAGTGAAGCTATGAAACATGGTACTGTAACTGAGGAAGAAGAAAGCGTTCAGGTGAGAGGAAGAGACTCCTGTATATGAAAATCATAAACTGTTGTGACTTGAACCAAAGTTTAGAGATCCAAGTTTTCCTAATAATTCTGATGTAGCCTTGCATGGTGCTGTTGCTCTGTGGAGTTAATTGTCTTCTCTGCTGTGCACATTTCGTAGCTGTGCACAAAGAAATTTAGTGTACTTTGGTGCAAGTTGTTTCGACTCTGATGTTTTTCTATTGCTCTTTCACAGGTACCAGCCCTTCCTTCTGCTCAGGTGAGTCAGCGTATCAGCAAGCATAGCACCAGTTAGAATAGCATCTGTGTTAGTAACGGCTTTCTGAGGAGCAGAAGATCTAGAGCTGTGATCATAGCATAGCCCGCAGTTAGTCACATCTTTATGGTATCAAGAAAGGGTAGAAGTAGCAGTCACCTCTGCAGCCTCCTGACTATGCTTGTGGTAGGAAGGTGTGGCTTTATAATTAGCTAATTACAGCCTTTTTGCACTGTTTCCACTTTATCCTGTGGTAGGCCTAGATATCCCATTATTTTCAACATCTCCTTTCTAGCTGATAGAGGTTCTGTTACTTCCTCTTGGACATCTTTGCTTAGATATTTGATTTCTGCTGTGCTGATAGCTCACGTGGCTTCATACTGATGTGTACACTTAGAATTCTTACACTTGAGATGTTCAGCAAAAGAAAAATGGAAGAAAATTAGACTTGTGACCTCCTGAAGAGGTTCAGCACTTAATATTGTCATATTGAAAAGTGTCAGGATTGACTGTTTGTATTGCAAACCAAAAAAATATGCCTATAGTGTGGTATGGGCACCACGTATTAGGATGTGATGCTAATGTGCTTGTAAAAATGAAATGCTTAAGTTGTCTTTTTTTAAAAACTGCTTTGCTCAGAAAATACAATGTTAATGACACTTGAAGTTGTTGAAGTTCAGAAAGCAACTGAAAATGTAAACAACAAACCACAGGATAATCAGATGTCATAGAATTAATTTTGTCTGTGCTTTTATATAGTATACTTGAATTGAACAGCTTCGTGTCACTGAAAGAGGCAACTATTGTATACAGTTTGAATGGAAGCCCAGTACTGTAGGAACTCTAAATGTTGAAATAATTGTTTGCCCTATACAAGAAACATGCCTCAGCTTTGCTTTGAGCTGCAAATTATTAGATCTTCACATACAATAAAATGTGAAGTTTTGTAGTATGTATGGCCTGAATTTGTAATGATGGGCTGAACTGTACCAGCACATTTTATTAGCAAGCAGACGTCAGTCTTTCCTTCGGGGTATCTTTATGTGATCAAGCAAGGCTGTAAAATATGTGCCGACAAAAATGAAATATTACTGGAAACAGTAATATGCAAGAGAATGCAATTTCTGCTTCTCTGGGTGAAATAGCACATATGCAGCTGTCAGATAAACACTTCTAATGGAAAATTCAAATCTAGAGTTCCTTATTTATTTGGTAAAACTTTCGTTGTCACAAATGATATTTTATATTTCAAATTTCTTATGTTCCCCCAAATAAGACACTTTTTGAAGTGATCGTGTACAGGGTTTTGGTGTAAGTGCTTAAAGTAGTCAGTCTTCCTGTGCCAACTTCTAGTGACCAAAATGGTGACATGTATTCATCAGAACTTGTTTTGTGAGATGGTGTCATAGAAATGCCAACATTTTTTCATCCCCAGTTCTGTTGCTGCTTTATTTAGTAACAAGGATTAGTAGCTCCTTTTAGAAAGTCTGTCAGACTTGTTTCATTTCATATATGTTGAACACAAGTCTACGTCCAACTCGGTTGTTTTTGAGACTAGGATATACTTACTGCCATGATTTAACTCATCCCAAACGTTGTGCTACGACTGACAATTTGCAGTGGAACTGTTGGTGTTAATATTTAAAAGAAATTATAAAAAAATGGTTTGTCTGGAGATGGAAAGTCATTGTCTTCTAGTGATTAAAACACTTGGCTACTGGCCTTACTTGAGATGTAAAGATACTGCATAGTTAAAAAGTACGATTTGCACCCCCACACACAAAGCTGTGGTTTGAGTTCTTGAGGGTTTTTTGTGCTCAGTGATGATTACAGAAATGTTTGCAGCTGAGAATGCCATTCCCAGATCTTTCTAAACATACTTTTTGCCAACAGACTGCAGACATATTATTGAAACCATGTGATAAAGATGCAGCTGTTGATGGAGAAAATAATAGTGAAAGGTATGTATTTTTCTTTTGTCGCTTACATGGCAGGATGTGTAACTTGAGTTTTAAAACATAAGTGTACCAAACTTCTGATTTTGACAACATGGTGTAGCATAAGGGAGGTAAAACTAAACATATAACTTTTCACATGTGAAAACAGAGAGGATAAGATGGAGTTTATGATGATGATATAAAAGGTATGGAACTTTTTGCACTTAAAAGAGAAAATAAGAATAAGCCTATATGGTATGGGGTTTTTTTGTGAACAACCGTATGTTCTGGGCAAGAGAAATGGAAGAAGAAAAATTATTTTCTTTAAAATATGTTGGCACATTTTATTGCTATTAATGATTGGAGAATTAATGCTGGTAATAGTGACTAGCCAGAAAAATTTTAAATTCATTTGTAGTTTGAGTTCAGCACTGATTGAAATTTCAGTTTGAGTTGAATTGACTTTTAAAATGTTTACTCCCAGTGTGAGAATAAAGGTCTGAGCTGTGTTTATTTCCAGCTTGATTCAAGTCCAGTTGTTTACATGCTTCATCTTGAAATTCTGTGTGAAGAAAAAAGGAGGGGGGGGGGAAGGCACTGTAACTTTTGTGCCACAGAATTTTAATTGTCACTTTTAAAGAAACATATTGCATACTTGCTAAAACTGGACTAGGGCATGTAAGAATGAAATGTAAAGGGAAGGTGTAGTGTTTACGGTCCATTAAGAACTTTTATTTAAAATGACAACTGGGTCTGTGTCTTCTTTTTAGGCAAAATAGTATATTGCTTGGTGGCAATGATAGAATATCTTCAGAGATGTTTCTGGTAAGATTATGCTTTCATTTTTGTACAGATATACAGCATCTTATAAACTTACACGAAATACAGATATGAAGAAAAACAATACACTTAGCTTTTAACATCTTCTGTTGGTTGGCCTGCTGCAAGGTTTGCAAAACCTCTGTTAGAGATCTCATCATCTAGCTTCACAGAAGCTTTTGGCACCAGAGCAAGCTTATACTTATGCATCTCATGTATGGAATTTTTTGTAATGCAAATAATTTACTACTGTTGGCAGGGGGAAGCTTGTTTATAATTGCTTAGCAAAGAAATTTATTTTTTTTTTCCAGAAAAATTCCACAAGTGCTGGAACTGGCACTGATTAGGTACCTGATTTCTAGTTGCTAAATAATAATAAAATTGTTCTGTTATGTTATTTAAATACAGGATTCAAGTAGCGACACTTGTGATCTCAATGCAAATACTGATTCCGAGGTGTCGGGGGATGGCAACGTTAATGTTTCTGAGGAAGCTCTGGGTGTCCAAGTACCACATCTAGATCTGAAGAATGTATCTGATGGTGACAAATGGGAAGGTAATTTTCACTCTTTAGCTCGCAATATAGTTAGCTAGTAATGATAAACAGAACACTGGACACAGTAGAAGAAGCAGGCAACTTACACATTTTTCTTCAGTTTGATCAGAGTAATAAGTTCCTGTACACATGGTAAGATCTATCAAATCATGACATAGGTCCCATCGTCTTTCAGACTATCTGCAACTTAATTAAGGACCTTAAAAAACTGTAAAGAAAAAATAGTCAAAGGAGCAACTAAAGAAAGCAAAAAAGCCTAAGTTTCATACTAGAGGTTTGGTGGTTAGTTTGTTCTAGGTTTTGTGGGGTTTTTTTGTTTGTTTTGTTTTAGTGACCTGTGGTTCCCAGGACACTGAGTCTCTCCTCCAAGTCCTTAAAAACACTTTTTCTGATTATGTCTTCCAGTTAATATTCACACTGTCTCTTGTTTGTTTTTTTAAATGTAAGCTACTGAAGTTCTGATACTAACTGAGTTTGACTTAAAATCACTAAGCTACTAAACACAGCAATTTATGTCATTTATTCTGAAAAATATGTTGGTGGTTTTGTTTTAAACATCAGGAATGTCAGATGTTGGTTTCCACGTCATTGGACAACTTGAAACAGCTCTAAATTTTCAAATAAAAGTTAAAGTTGCAGATGGTATTATTTCTCTGCCCCTTCTCCCTCCATTGTTTGGATTTTAGGAAAATAAGTGTTTGAAACATAGTTTTCTCTCAGACAGAATTCCTTATGTTTGTGACCTTTTCTTCGTGGCCTTCCAGCTTTAGCAAGCTCCTGAGCTTGTGACTTCACTGAACTTTGTTGCTCAAATGTCTGGTAATAACTGTTTAGACTGTTGTTTTACTTATGCAAAAACATAACCCCTTTGTAACCAGAGCAAAACACTCTTGTCAATATCTTTTCAGAGTACTTACCTTTTTATGTGTTCCTTATATCCTGTTTCCTCTTGCCTAGTGTTGATATTCTGAATCATCACACCTTAAAAAAATGCAAATGATATAGCTTGTTAAGATACTGTGAACTGTCACCTACAGTACAATGACCACAGTCCATTTGTGTCGAATTTTAAAACTTCGCAAAGGGACAAGGTTTTAACTTCCAGCAGGCTGTTGCAGTGACAGCTATTCTTTGAAGTGCCTGTAAGTGTCACAGTCAAATGACCGTAAGACACTCGTAACAAAGAGTGACTGCACTTAACTTCTGGTTGTTGCGCTGTAAATTTCAAAATTAGTGAAGTACATGTGTAATAGATGTCATTTATCAGTGTAGCATATCATAAAGCTTTGTCCTGGGGCTCAAATGGTGATAACATATTGTTAATTTGTCACCAGTGCTGACTGTTTTCCAGTTCGTTGCCTGCATGAGTTCATACTTCCCTTTTAACCCTTTTCCCAATGATGAAGTTTGCAACTTGTGATTGGCTTGCTTATATTTTTAAAATATTTGCTGCTTGGCCTTCTTGAGCCCTAGCAAACTGTACATTCAGAGTATGTCATGTCACGTAGAAGTCCAGAATTTCATTCTTGTTGCCAAAGTTAATAACGTCATCTAAAGTTAAAAAAAAAAAATCCTGCTTATGTTCTCAGTGTTTTATTTACATTAATTGCTTTCTTGCACATTACATTTTGTTGCATCCTTTATTTGTGTTAATCTGGTTTAATACATATTCTCAGAAGGTTTGTGGCTTCCATTTTCATTATTTCCTTAAATCTGCTCGTAAAAGATGCTTTGGTTTTACTTACCCAAATAGCTTTATGACCCTTACTTTGAAAAGAAAGTAGCATATCTGTATATAAATTTATAATATAAGCTTCTGGGTAGTAAAACCATGATATTTTGCAAGAGGTTGTATTTCATTGCAAAGTATTTTAACTCTGGCTATTCTTCAGTCCTGTTTAGAATCGTTATCAGGATCTCAGCCTTCCAAGGCACTGCAAGTCCTTGTAACATTCCACTGAAGTAGATTGGCTTTGTAAAGAAATCTATACTAGTCCAAATCTTGTTGCAAGATTTGGTGTACTAAAGCCTATGTGATGGAAAATTTAAGGGCCTGTAACCAACAGAATTCTTGAAAATGAACGTCAGATGGTTGCTGGCTTCAGGCAAAAATGCAGATCAGTTAATCTATATTTCTGAATATTTGTTTCTGTATTTGTCCTGCTTTTTGGAAGTCACCGCCATCTTGATTGTTTTACAAGCTGTGAACAAAAACACATTTAGAACTTGTCTTTTGTTAATGTGAGGATGCATGAGACTCTTACTAAACTACAATAAGTCTTTACTGTTCCTGTGTCAGTTCTTTGTAAACCTTTTCAGTAAAAAGTTCAAATTCACTAAGGACTGAGCATCCTTACCTGCCACTGAAATTGCTTGGAAGCTGAGAGTGCTCAGGGCCTGGCTCAAAACATGGGATGTTTTTCCCTGGTAATGTATCTTCCTGCTTTACATGTTATGTATGGTTTGTTCTGACTGTGCTGTGTGTTCACTTTAGTATTTTTGCCATTCTTTTTCATTTTATTAGCGCCATGCCCTATCACTTTTCCCCTCATTGATTTCAAAACAATGCATCTGCAGAGAGAAGGGGAGGGTAAGTATGGTTCGCCATACATTCAGTTATCTGCCTTTTGATAGTTTATGGTTTGCTTTCTCGCTAACCCTTCACCTGCTGTCCCTTATATCTTGGGAATGTTCTCATCTGCAATTTTTTTGTTTACTTTTTTTCTAAAAGGTCCCCTTCTTGCATCTTGTACTGTGTAAACAGGCAAGATTATAATTTAAAAGCAAAACAAAAAATCCTGATAATACTTAGTAAATGTACAATGGAAAGCAGGTACAAGGGTTATTTTTTTTAAAGGTTACTTTGTGGATTTTATTGTTGTTCTGCACACTCTGAACCCAGTTTTCAAATTTCTGATTTGAACAGGAAAATATAGGCAACTCTCTGAAAGGAAAAGGGGGGTGGGATTTTAAATTAAAGTGCTTGGAAGGCCACGTCAACTTTTTGTTAGACAGCAAGAAAACCATATCCGTGAATTGTAAGGGATACTAGCAATTAACTTTTTAAAGGGATTTTAAAAAAATTGATTGTTTTGGAATCCCCTGCCTAAAAGAAATCACCTTCCACAAATTAAGAAATCTCTTTTTCTCAGTGGTGTCAAGGTGGATTTAAACTTAAAAACCCAACAACACTCCTTTAAAAAGATTTAAACAAATGGGTATTCTACCTAAAGAGGTATTGTCAGGCTTAGCTTCTTCAAAACCAAGAGGACAGTCTTTCAAAATACATGTGTAAGGTATGAAAATCAATTTCCACAGCAAAATATTGTAATGGACAATAAATCTATTCTTCTAACTTTGTATTTCTGATACATAAATAAGGCTCTTTTACACTGTTGAACTATTCAGAAATGCATACTCCCAAGATACACTTTGAAAAAGGGATCCTAGTGTGCATAGTTCATTTCAGTACCTTTTTCTTTCAATTGTTATATGACAGAATTTGTAGCTTTCTGATGTATTTCGATGTTTTTATTCACTTTGTGTATGACACCACATCCTTTATAGCATACAAGACTAAGCATTGGGTACGCATTTTTTGTTTCCTTTTGACTCTTGTTTATAATTCTGTTAACAGAAAAGTGCCATTTTGTGTCCCTTTTTTATCTTCTAGATCCGTTTCCTGCTTTCAAATCCTGGCAGGAGGACAGTGAATCTGGAGAAGCTCAGCTTTCCCCGCAGGCTGGAAGGATGACTAATCATCCGTTGGAAGAGGACTGTCATCCGATATTGTCACATCGTAGTTTGGATTTTGGGCAAAGCCAACGTTTCTTGCATGATCCAGAAACGTTAGATTCTTCATCCAAAGCACTTTCTTTCGTTAGGTATGTATTTTACTGCAGTTTGGGGGGTGTTGGGGCAGGAGGTGTTATTGCCGGTATGAAAATACAGCTGTTTAAGAACCTCATGGGTTTTCACAGTATGAAGTAATTGAAGACCAAGGTCAAATGTACCATTCATTATATGGCCATTTGGCTGTTCTGCCTGCCCAGGAACTGCCATAGTGAGTCAGACCAGAGGTTCGTCTGGGGTGATATAGTGTCTCTCAAAGCGGCCACTGGCAGATGCTGAGGGGAAGAGTATAAAAATAGGGCAAGCTTGCACAGATTTCCCTGGCATCTGGTCAGGGCTTCTGATAACCTGCTCTAATGGCACTTCCTGGGCTGAAGGTAGTATTTATATCCTTTGTTTACCAGTCTTTACTGGACTGCTGGTCTATGATTTTATGTAGATTTTGGCTTTTTATTTTCTTTTCCAGTAGCATGAATATGTATTTTCATGTTGCGTAATTTTGGATTTGTTTTGTGTAGCATGTTACCCACTCCCAGTAAAGAGAGGCAGGCTGTACAAACCATTGCAAATAAAGTGTGTAGTAACGGTCTGGGCAGATTCTTCATTTGGGCTGTGGAAAGCCTTCCTTCAGAAGGGTTATAGGAAAGACTCAGCTGTTAGAGGGAGAGGCATGGGACGGTAGGGCTCTTAACGCAGGTCTTCTGCAGATTTAGAGGATCGAGCCTGTTTAACCCAGTGTATGAAAGCAGAGTTGTATGAAAGTTATTTGTGTGACCCTGGGGATTGTGACCCTCCAAAACTGTAAAGAATCAGTGACCTCAACTGTCTACTGCTGTCACTATGAGGGGGAATAAGAAGAATTTCCATGCTTGTTAGGGAAGAAGTGATCTCGTAAAAATGAGAAAATCTGGAACAGGAAAGGCCAGGTTTAGAGTCTCTAATTCTGTCTGACATAGATTTGTTGATGCAAAAGATAGTTGTCAAGTCCTGTTGAAACGATGCAGAAGACTGACCTGCACAAAAATGCTGATTGTGATAGCTGTTCTCCTCATTCTGAAACTAATAAGGATCTACACTAGTAGATTATTAGATTAGTATTTCTAATATCTTGAACTACATAGATGTCACTAAGCATCCTAGAAAATGGTCAGCCTTCAGATGAAAAGGCTTTTCACAAGCGGCCCATGTCAAGGGGCTGAACAAGTTGGAAAAATTATTCAAAACCAGAATCACATACTCTAGAAATATAGTAGGACAACAGATTAGGTGATGTAGGTGTTTTTAGGTAAGTATCTAATAACTTGCCTAAGACAGTTAAGTGGAGCTAATCTGTGGTAGCTTCTAGCCTAGGCTTTATTCTGTGCCCGATTTCAAGAAGTACTGAGGATCTAGTAACTTAGCTAAGTAGCCTAGTCACCAGAAAGATCTGAACTGTTTTAATGACAATGTAAATAACAGTATATTAGTTTATTATGCTTGAATTTCAAATGCTGTTTTTCTGTTAGGGATATTAGTGAAATTAGAGAGGAAAAAAATAACATGTAACATTCTGAAGGCAGCAGATCAAAGCGTTTTCATTCAGTAAGTAAATAGCTCTGACTGAAAACCTGAAAAGAATGGATTATAAACTGGAGAAAAAAAATTGAAATTAGTAATCTGTTACTCAAATATACAAGTTGTTTGCACTCGTTTCATTATTTAAATTGCATTAAAAAATGTTTTTAATACAGAACACGAAGAGCATCCTTTAGCTCAAAAGATGACAAAAGGGAAGACAAGACACCTTATCAGCTTGTCAAGAAATTACAGAAAAAAATAAAGCAATTTGAGGAACAATTTGAAAAAGAGAAGAACAGTAAGGTAAGTTACTGCTTCTGCTTCTACTCAGGATAAATGACTGCATGGTAGAGCTAAGTTACGTTGTGTAGTTCATCACTGAATAGCTGTGGGTTCACAGGTGAGAATTTTTTTTTTTTTTGTACACTGCTGTCTGCAAAAGTGAACTGAGCAATAGGAGTACTAGAGATCGTGCCATAGTGCCTGAGCCCAAAGAAGAACAGACAGTGATGTTTATACAGTGAGACTGAGGGGATATCAGATGGGATATGTGGAGAGGTGAAAGCATTTTATCACTCTCTGGTTCAACTTCTGATGTATTGTTTCAAGTTTATTTTCACAAGTGTTGTCTGTGATGTTGGCAATGAGATCTGATCTGGTACTAAGAGTGGCATTTGTGTTACTTGTAACATTTGCTGTCATAAATATTACCAAATCTTGAAATAAGTCTTTATAAACAAGATTTTAGTATGTTTTCATAAAATGAAGTTTGTTTGTATTACTTTTCAGCCCTCCTATAGTGATATTGCAGCCAATCCAAAAGTTTTAAAATGGATGACTGAACTTACCAAACTGAGAAAGCAAATAAAAGGTAAGAGATGCTACAGTTTCTGGTTTTCTACAAACACAAATTATCTACATGACTAAAATGGCGAAGTCATTTAGTGAAATTCCACAGGACAGTAAGAATGTTTTGTTGGAGGGGTTCAAGGCCTGGCTGAGTGAGGCTTTGAGCAACTTGATCTAGCGGAAGGTGTCCCTGCCCATGTCCGGGGGGGCTGGAACTCGATGATCTTTAAGGTTCCTTCCAACCCAAACCAGTCTGTGATTCTATGATTTCTAGATTCTGAACTATTTAAAGATCAAAATAAAATTATTCTTGTGGCTTTGTTTTTAGTTCATTAGAAGAGAAACTTTGCCTGTGCAAACTGTTATGTTCCTTTATTTGGAGTTGAACTGAGAGAGTTATTTCTTTTAAATGTTGGGATTGGGCAATTTTTCTCATTTCAGATGCAAAGCAGAGGAGCTCAGATGGAGAATTCATACCTCAAGCACGTCCACGAAGTAACACTCTTCCAAAAAGTTTTGGTTCCTCTCTTGACCAAGAGGATGAAGAAAATGGAGATGAGATGCGGGTTGTGCAGAAAGAGAAGCAGCCCACCAAAGAAGCTACGCTTGAGCTCATTTTGAAAAGGTTAAAGGAAAAACGAGTTGAGAGATGTTTGCCAGAAGATATAAAAGTAAGCATAAGGTTACGGACAGGCTGTTTCTAAGAGAATAACAGATGGTGGTAGAGCACTGTCAGATACTTCAGTGACGAAATGATGCCTCTGTCTAGCAGCCCTTAACCAAGCCCTCATATTTCAGACAATGATCCAGATGAACCATATTTTCCTTGCTCACTCTTTATTAAAATATTTCGAAGTATGTGCTGACAGTATTGGACAGCTTTAAATGGGTGAAGGTGGGATGTATGGTATTAACTAAGCTAAGTTTGGCTAAGGCATCTGTATAGCTGGTAACGCAGAAAAACTGTTAAAGTGACTCGTGTTTGATTAGATGTGAATTATTCTTCTGACAGAAAATGACAAAAGACCATTTGGTAGAAGAGAAGACATCTCTCCAGAAAAGCCTCCTGTATTATGAAAGTCAACATGGACGGCCGGTAATACTTGGTTTGCTTTATCAAGCTATGTTAATGTATGTGCAGGCAACAGTAACTGCTGTGCAGTGGTAATACCAGAATTTAGTGCTGATGTGTGGGCTGGTTTGGTTTTTTTCTGCTCCAAAACACCAAGTTATCTATTGGTTTCCATGTTGCCATCAGAGGAAGTTATTACATTGACTTCTAAAAGCAATTTATTTATTAATAGGCCCATTTTGCACAGTTCATTAGTTAGGTTATTGGAGTTTGCAAAGTGATTGGTGTTGTTTGGTGCCTTATGTGTCTGTGAAGCAAAGAGAAATCTTAAAAATAAATCATGCAATTGAATTTTCTGGGAAAAGGCCTGAAATGTTATTGTGAATTTAATAAAAATAGAAATGAAAAGGCACTTTTTTTTTTTTTTCTGAAGTCTATGGCATGTGTCTTAAATAATAATTGGAGATACGGAAGTTAAAGTAAGTGACTACCTATTAGTGCCTGACATTCTGGATTTTTGTCTTGGGCTGTGATCAGCATCACGAGTCCAATCACAAGATCTTTCCAGTAACTATTCTACCAGCCTCTTGGATTTGGCACACTAGCTTTATAATCAGCACTGCCGTATAAATCTGACCAAGCCTTTCAGACTAAAAGCCAAGGAAGAATAATAATGGTCTTGGAGATACTGGCACTGCTTCTGCAGTCCCCTTAGGGAGAAAATGCCAGTAACTTTTCAGGGTAGCCTTTAAGATTCATTATGCTAAGAGTACAAAGTGGCCAAAAATTGAGAGTAAATCAGATACCAGATAAAATAAATCTCTCTACAGTTTCATCTTTTTCTTTCTTCCCCTGTCATTTCTATAGAATCATCACCATTGCTAGGAACATGGTCTTTTCCCCCAGTTCTTGGTCCCTTTTTTCCTCTTTTCCGTGCGTCTTTAAAGATAGAGGGTTTGCTTCTACTGAAGCTCCCTTTTAGGAAGCCTTTGAAACTTCTTCCTGAAAAATATAGGGCGTTAAAGTGGGAAAAGAGAGGAGGACAAGTACCCACTTATTCCCCTTTATTTGCAGAAACCCCATTTCATACACAGAATTTAAACTAGTTTTGTGTTCCTAATTGGAATGTACATGGTCTGGCATGAGAAGCATACCACTTTGTGTTTGCTTGTATATTATTGAGTGACTGGTATAATTAATTCTGTGGTTTCTCTGCCTTTAGGTTACTAGAGAAGAAAGACATATTGTGAAGCCACTTTATGACAGATACAGACTTGTAAAACAAATGTTAACTAGAGCAAGCATTACTCCTATTCTTGTGAGTAAAACAAGTGCTATTTCTTTTTTTTATTTCCCCCACACTTTTTAACTGCCAGGCTGCCTTTAGAAGAGCTAGTAAAACTGTTCCATAAAATACATCTCTCTTGTGAAAGATATAAGATGTTGTTGTTGTCGTACTTGAGGCATTTGATTTACTGCTGAGAGCAGAGCAGTTCAAAGCTGTCTGTGACCTTGATGGCTCTTAGGAGATGAATGGTTCCCTGTGGAAGTAAATAAGCAGTTCTAACTTGCCGTGGCTGAAACCTTCCCAAATCACTGTGCTAGGTATGGATCCACAGTACGCACTGTACTTTTAGTCCTCCCAAGAACAGTAACACCAGTTGCAGTGAAGCTTGCCTCTCTTCTGTGCTGTAGGTTCCTGTCACCAGAGGCGTGAGTGATAGGGTGGCCATAAAAACCATTTCAGTCCTTCATGCTTCCTCAGTCTGCGACATGTTATCAACATCTGCAGCATCTGTACAACATCTGCACTTTTTCATTGTGTTCTCACTTCATTTCCTTCTACCTTGCCATGCTTTCTGTTCTTTTCTTTCCTCACTCTGTGGTCTTGTAAGAGATGAGGAAGAAAAGTTTTCATACTGTGCAAGGAGATTGATGTGTAGTAGTTTATAGTCCCTGTAAAACAGTTGTGGAATGACAGCTAGCTGGCTGTCTTTGCTCTTCATGAGCTACAGTCAAAATCCTGCATTCTGACCCAAGCTTGCAACAAAACAGTTTTGATATTAGCTGTTTGACCCTTTAGAAGGAAGGGACTGCATAGCTGACCTGAGATAATCTCTTTACATACAGACAGTTCTCTGTCAGATTTACATAGCTGGGCAGTGGCTTACACAGCAGCAATTTAATCGGCTAAGTTGACTCTGACTGTCCTTAGCTATCCCCTTTAAGCTGAAGTATGTTGAGGAAAAGGGACCGGTTCAAGATCATTCCTTTTTTGCACATACACTTTTGGGTAGCTGCTTTTGTAGAAAAATTGTATGTTTCAGTTTAAGGGAATCTTGAAGGCTTTGATGTCAGTATGCCTTTCTGAACTCCATAAACACAGGTTGCTCTTAAATGCCCGAGCATTTCTGCATGACGGATGAGTCATTGGTTACTGGTGGTGCCCTTGACTAGTTGGGTTTTATCCCATCTCTTACCTCAAAAATCTGACTCTTCAGCTGAGATGTTGGACAGGGCTCTGAGCAGCCTCATGTAGTTGAAGATGTCGCTGCTCATTGGGGTTGGACTACATGATCCTTAAAGGTCCCTTCTCACCCAAACTATTCTGTGATTATCAGTAGCCTTATAACTATATCATAGTTGCTCTTTTTTTTGGCTGTCAAATAAAGGGATGGGCAATAGCCAATGAAAAGGATTTTAAATTCAGAAGAGATCTTGGTAACATCATTTCTAATCTGTGCTGTAGGCAACAGCTGTAAAATATTTCTCACAGGCCTCTGCTTTTGAAACCTGTAAGAGAGATAAATGGAGCTCTCTGATTACCAAGGATTGTTCAGTGGTAGCTTCTAGTTAGAACATATTCAGTGCCAGGAATTTCAAGAATTTTTTTTTGGTTTATATGATACTTGCTTCCATGACATCTTTCGTATGGCATCATGCTATAGTAATCACATACTCTGAAACCTGTATGGAAATGTCCAAGCAAGTAGGAAGCTATTTACTTTTCATGAACTAAAGTTTTTGACAGGTTGTTGTCTGTGTGGCTTTTGTGTTCCACTCTCCTGCTGTTCAAATAGTCTGTCTGTTGAAATTGCTTGTGCCGTGCAGGGATAACAGGTGAGCAGGGTGTAGCTGCATGTGTGCAGCAGACAGCTGACAGCAATTCCCGTGCAGCAAGGTGGCACCTGTTTAGGCTGAAGTTCAAAGGATCTTAAACCCGAGGTGGCAAGAGAGAACTCTTCCATAGCTCTTGCAGTTGTGGGGCTTCAGAGTAGTCTAGAAAAAGAAACTGGTAGTGTTATTCCCGGTGTATGTCTGTCAGAAGACAAAAACCAGCTCTGGCCTTCATAGTCTCTCTGTGGTTTGGTTTGGGAAGAACAAGAATAAATATGAAATTCAGAGATACCATTGCGCTTTATGAATTTTCTACAAAACATGGAGAGAGTGGGTGCTTTTTATTTTAAGTCTGAAGAAGAATATTTTTACATAAATTATGAGCCACAACTTTACTTCTGTGTCAAGGATACTTTGGGTGTCTGAGCTTTTTGGGTTATATGATTATTTTGTTTGTGCTCTGTAAGTATGTTTGCAGTCTTTTATTCTTCTGAAAGAAGAAATACCTTTAGATATTAGGTGACTTCAACAGAATTTGACCACATGCAGCATTTAATGTCTAAATGCATATAATGAAACAAATTTAAAATATTGCAGGGGTCACCATCAACCAAGAGGCGGGGGCAGATGTTACAGCCCATTATTGAAGGTGAAACTGCCCATTTTTTTGAAGAAATCAAGGTGTGTACAGTGCATTTTAAAGTATTATATCCCAGCATTTGTAACAGGGAACTGAGATATTTCATATTTGTTTGAATTGCTGCTTTGACTTTCAGGAGGAAGAGGAGGAAAGCGATGGTTTGTCTGCAGACCTGAACGATATCTTAAAAACTGCTGTCCAAACACAGTCTGTTTTAAGCCCAGTTGAAAACTCTGAGTCTGATGTTGAAGATGGTCAAGAGAAACTGACCAGGGACCTGAGGCTGTCAAGCACCCGCGCTGCTTCTATGTATGTAAAAATAAGAAGTTACTACTTCTATTATAAAAGTTGCAATTATTGCACTTACAGGCACAATACCAAACAAATATATGATGTTAGGTGGAAGGGAGTGACATGTTCTTCACTTCTCAGGAAGTGTTTGGCTTGAATGAGCGTTCTCTTGTCTGGCTGAGATCTTTTTGTATTTAGTGAATTGTTTCATATCTTCTAAACATTCTTCAGCCTTACTTGAGCTGTGTAGACAGCAGAAAATTTATACTCTTCTATTAACTACTAGTTTATTCTCAATATTTCACCATCAGACAGATAACATATTCCTCCTGAGCAAGGCAAATTTATTATTAGTGCAGCTCGCTCAGCTGTTTTTGAGTATGCTTTGAAGAATTTAAATTTAATTGTATAGCCAACCGTATTTTTCTTTCACTTGAAATTTTTAGGCCTGAATTATTGGAGCAACTGTGGAAAGCCAGAGCTGAAAAAAAGAAGCTACGTAAGACGTTGCGAGAATTTGAAGAGGACTTTTATCAGCAGAATGGAAGGTTTGTTTAGCACAAAACCAGATGCTGGACAGCAGACTCATTTTGTAGACAAGTATTTTTTCAAGTTTCTATATGAACGTTGCCAAATGGAATCTCTCCTGTTTTACTCTCTACAATGAATAATCTCCTGAAGGAGATAACATTCTTGCATGTTTGTAATAGCAGGGGAAGCCTGCCTCTGAATTTTGTTTCCTCTATTACAATCTGTAAACCATAATAATGGAAATAGAGTGATTTTTTTTTTCAGTTAAAAAAATCAACATTTTAAAATATTTATTTAAAAAAGTAATTTTTATATATTTAAAAACGCCTCAGATTGTCCCCCTTTTTAACATAGGGCAGGGAAGTTTGGCAATTTGTCCTTTCTTCCAGTAGGTCAGTCTTGACAGGGAGCGTTTGCTTTACCAATAAAGGGGTTGATCATTTTTATTCTTCTCAGTGTTGTTTAGTTCTTTTAGGCTTCTTATTTGATTATATATTGTTATGAATTTGATTGAACTGCTGCCCTTTATGTGTAATAGGAGGTTTTTTGAGGTGTGTCACCTCATGAACAAAACTAACAACACTCTTAAGAGGTCAGTCACTTTCTTGACTGGCAGATGTTCTCACTTAATAATACTTTCTACTGTTTTTCTCCTTAACTAGAAACTCCTGGACCATTGGTCACACAAATTCCACTAATATGGCTTCATCATGCACTTAGCGAATTTGGGACGTAACTCCTTTTGACTTTAATAGAAAGTAATGAGGTTGTTAGTGATGCGTTGATTTAAAAATAAGGCAGATTAATAGATTAATTTCTTATAGTCCAGTCTTAAATAAGAATAATTCTCTGCTCTCATTTTACCGGTCAGTCTATGTATAGTGAAAATGTAGATGGACTTAAATTTGTTTATCTTTTTCTGTAATGTATACAAAGGATCTGAAATTAAGGTCTTCATATCCTGTTGTTAAGATCTCCATGAGAACTTAAGAGAATGATTTATAAACAGTTGTGTGGAATAAATGCTGCTGGGTTTTCTATTCGCTTTTTTAGGCGATGGCAGTTTTAACTACAGGAAACTAAAATATAACAGTGTGTCTATTATTGGTGAACCAGCTGCCAAAAATGTTTTTGTCTGCTGTGAGATAACTGCACATTGCTGCTTTTGTGTTTGACTTGCTGCAGGATGGAGTATTTTCTTGAAACTTAGGTGTGCTTCTTTTTACAGGAATGTCCAGAAAGAAGATCGGGCTCCGATGCTTGATGAGTACAGGGAGTACAAGAAAATTAAAGCCAAACTTAGGCTGTTAGAAGTCCTTATCAGCAAACAAGATTCTTCAAAATCAATTTAAATTCTGTTCCTCCAAACCATTGAATAACATGTTACCGTATACAACCACTGTACTTATTGGGTACTTGTGTTCATTTGTCATGCACTGTTGAAAGAATCCAGTTTGTGCACTTTATTGTGGTGCCACTATCACATGTTTGAAGGGTAAGTAGGTCCTGTCTAGAGAGCAAGTAAGATTTTTGAAGTTCGAGACTGCTCTATCCAACTTTAGCAAACACAGTTTCCATCAAAGTTTTGTTTTACAGATGCATCCGTCTTGTTTCAAAACAACCTTAGCTTTTTTTTCTTTAGCATTCAAGAACTTTGAGACTTTTGTTATTACCAACTTTTTGCATTACTGAAGAAATTATTAATACCATAATGCTACACTGAACTACTCCTCTTGCCTATTTTTTATTATGGGGGAAAAAGTCAGCAAATTAAACATATGGCTCTTTTTCCTGGAACATTTGAAAAACAGACTGAAATTCCTTTCAAAGGACTGCTGTGGAACAACTTTAATTTTTGGTATTCTAAATTGCACCTATAACACAGTAATAATTAACATCTATGGATTTTGCTCATTAGTGGTCGTGTTTCCTCCTTGATAGAGATGACAGTGGACAAACCAGAAAGTGACCTTGCTTAGTGTCTTTTGGAAAACTGAAAAGTTATATCACATGCTGCCTACAGGACTTATGTTACTGTTGTTCATTTTATCATTTTATCGGTTATTGTTTATCAACTAGGGGTGACATAGTGTTTTGTCTGAATTGGATACTGCGTCTCCGCTTTCGGAAGATTTGAGGAACATAATGAACATTTCAGTGTATGGGAAATCTGGTGGTGCTCAGACTTGCGTAGCTCTGGCAGAAAAGAGCTGGCTTAGGACAGTTAAAATTTCACTGTGTCTGAAATAAGTTACGGTATCAAGGGCTAAAATCAGTGTAGTTAATGTGCACCACAAGGTGAACTGTTGGTTTTGAGTGAAAAAATTACTGCTGTTTATCATGGTTTTGTTTTACAGTTGGAGAATAAAAATAAGTTACCTAACCCTTATGATGTAAGCAAAACAGTTTATGGGCCTTGCATGGTTTAGCTTCAGAGTTGAAACTAAATAATGTTTTGAGTATCACATCTGCTGTGCTGAATGATGATTTAGCTACTAGCTTTACGCTCTGCAACAACCATCAGCAGCTGGTTTTGATCTGGCAAAATCTACGTGTTAATTTGAACTGGTGCTTTCTCTATTTTACTTTTTTCTTCAATGTATCAGTTTGATTGTGGCCATGTTTTGCATGCACCTACTCTCACTGCATGTTTTTATGACTGGCTATTGTCAACATAGCTGTTATTCACTCTGCTTTATGAAAGACCAAAAATGAACTTTCTCACAAGATAAGAAATGGCTCGCATGTAACCTCATAGACTTACTGTTCTGTCATGAACCATATAAAATAAGTTGAAAGTAGGATTTTTAGTGCTCAGATTTCATCTGTGTACTGTAGAATACTTTTTGTTTTACTCTGCTTGTAGGCATGTAATTTTGGAATTCAGAAAAAAAAAAGCACTAAAACTGTTGAGCACTGGTGGTATGCCTTTTTTTTTTAAAACTGCTAAATTATCTGGGACCTTAGAGAATTATGAGGTTAAACTAGTCTTGAGACCATTTATCAATTTTATTCAGTTCCATTGTGCAATGTACACTTCAGTTCCTTTTCTATCAGTCTGCAGACACGGGTGTATCCAAACATTGAAACTAATGTGTACTGTATAGTGTTGTACATGAATGTTTGTGTTTTATATACCACATGCAAAATGTCAATATGCACTATTTAAATGTTTTAAATAATATATTCCTCCTTTATAATGCTTAAATCTATATGATTCCAATATTTTTATAAGTGAGTGCGTGATCAGACTGGTTCCAATTCAGAATTAACAGCTGCTTTGTGTTTGTTATGCAGTGTTTGGCTGTTTACTCAGTATAGTAGATAAGCATGGCAACAGTTATGCTGAGTGTGTTTTGTGCCATCCTTGTTGAGCAATAAATAAATGGTAGAACTAGGCATTTTGTGATATAACAGTTTTACTTTGGTAAAAGCAAAACCTATATATCTATATGGATATATAGATATGAAATATATATAACTAAACCAGATATAATTGCATTGCTATGTCTGGTGCTCATTGTATAGACTTTTATAATAAAAGTACCTTAACCTTTATTGTCATATATCTTTGTTGCTCATCATGCTTTCTCCTCCACTGCCATCTCTTAAAAACAAGTGCTGAGTCCTTCGCTATTCCTGTACAGATTTGTAGTTTCAGGGTGAATTCCACAGCCTGCCAGCAGAGCCACCCACACTGGTCGTGCCTCAAGAGACAGCCTTTGATGAAGCCACAGCAGTTTGACCTTATTTTACCTGTTTAGACTGTGCCTCTCAGCAGAGACAGCAGGAAAGTGACCAGATCAGCTTCTGAACTGATAGCTTGGCTTATGGTGCGATGTGAGCTTCAGTCCCTGCTAGGGTGCCAGCCTGCTGTGTGGTGACGCAGGGCAGACTCTGAGTCTCGCTCCTTCCTGCTCCAGCAGTGACAGCTTTGGGAGTAGGTAGGCAGAGAGCTGATTCAGCCATTACTGGGTTAATTAATTCACTGCCAGTGAGTGCACCTCCAGCTGATGAGCAGTATTAGATTGTGTCTCTGTATCCATAATGATCTCTCAGCCTTAAAATCACTGTCACAGCAATTACTCCTGTGTTTGTGGCCAGAAAACACAGTTATTGCGCACACTTCTGTAAATTCGACAGGATGCTGTTCCTCTGGACCAAGTAGCTTTTTGTCATAGTATATTGATGTAAGTTCATAGGAAAACTGATTGAGGTCTTTCAAACTGACTCTTCTGTTGTATTTTGTGTAAATCCACCTTTCTTTAACCTAAGGCCTGGCAGGGGACAGAAGAACTTGTGAAGGTGAAGACTCTGCTTGTGCATGTGTGGCAGTGGAGATGAATGAGAACAAGAAAAAACAAGCAGGAAGTTGAGGGAGCAAGTGAGGGAGAGGAGACAGAAGGCAGCTTTCAGTATGAGACAGAATAATCTTCCCTCTGAAGGTGGGGGGGAAAGGAAGCACGAATTGTTAAGACATTGACTTGCAGAATAAACAAGGTTGCTACAATCCTCCGTTTTTCCTTAGCGTTATTTATTCAGTGGTGCAGGTGGGGTGCTACAGGCTGGTGTTTTCTCATGCTACGCTCAGGTGGCATTATAATGTTTTATTTCTTCCTGTGGCTGAGTGCCAGCAATGAACAAATATTAATGACTACCCAGGAGTAGATAGTTTTTGGCCTGAACATGACACCTTGTCTCTAAGGCGATGTGTATAAATGGATTTAAGAATAAAAAGGATGTTCTGAAAATTCAAGCTGGTGCAAGTCGCCCTCTAGTGGTTCCGGCTGTTAAGGCCTGATCAAATTTTTTTTTTTTTTCCAAAAGAATTTTTTTTTTTTTCTCTGATGACAACACTAACCTGTTTTGGAAGCAACAGGTGCCTGGAACAAGAATTGTTGAGCAGGAAGCATTAACCTTGGCAGCAGATAAACTAGCAAAAGAAAGTCTGGGGAAGAGAGGGCTAATGACCCGTGTGCTGGGCTGTGCGTGGCAAGTGAGGGTTGTGCTGGGCTGCACAGGGCCAGAGATGGAGAGGAAGGTATGGAGCAGGCCTGGGATGCTGCCACTGCTCGTGATCTGCTTTCTTGGTTACCCATCTGTGTGTCTCCCAGCAGCCCCAGAACAAGGCAGAGGAATAAATGTCATTTAGGCATTTGTAGAGATGCCTACCCAGAACTCTAGCAAGGCTGGTCAGTTCTCCTCTGAGTTAAAGAAGCACCTGAAACTCTCAGAGAGAAGACCCAGAAGTGACAGTGGTATATACCTTTATTAACATTGCTGTTTCTCTTATCCAGAAATAGAAAAAAATAAAGGGGAGGGAGGGGATGGGAACTTCAAACTTTGTGATGAGTCAGGCCATCTGTTACCAGCTAAACTCTTGCATTTTACTGTGCTGTCCTGCCTGACATATCCCTCAGTTGGTAAATGTATTTAATTATTTTCTTGAGTTTTGCATCAGTGTTATTTAATCTCTGCTCCAATGTGGCTGTATACCTGGAGAGCCTGGAACACACAAATACAGAAACACATCCTTGAGATGTCGTTGCCCTTACACTTGCATGTGCAACCTTCCTCTTTGCTCACTTGTGTCAGCTGCCAAGGATCTAAATCCTGAAACGCCCTTCCACAAGCACAAGGTCTTACAGCCTCTATCCCCCTTCCTGGGCAGCCACAAGGAGATTGTCCCTGGAAGAGGGACAATATTTAAAGTTCTTGTCCTACCTCATTCTCAACTAATGTCCTTAACAAGCTGCTCTACTAAATTATTTTGTTTCCTTCTTCCCTCCCTGAGGGCAGCTGTTGTCAGCCAATATAAGAGCCCTTAAAATATCTTAAAATTACTGTTATCTCCTATGTGTCTGGTTGTCACTCGGTGAGAGTTTCAGCTAGGGCTGCAGCTGCTTTAGGGATGAGAATAAGGCTGCAAGAACAGACTTGCACACACTTACTGCTGAAATTCTGCAGTGGAGACGTAGGTCTGAGCTGGGGCCGAGTCTGTGATCTCAGTAGATGGATACTTGTGATGAAGTTTCTCTTCCCCTTTCTGTAGCTTTGATAACTTCAGTTGGCTCTATTCAACACCAGAGGGATTAAAAAAAAATAAAATCACAAAGTCAGTGTGGCTCCCTGGGACACCTGTAACACAGTCACGCATGCAGGGAGGGGGCATGCATGCAGGACAAGATATAGGCAGCTTTGAGGAGAAAAATGCTCTCTTCTCCATCTGAAAGTAATTTTCAAAAAAGTCAGGATATAGGAATACACATTTATGTTTAGAGTTGAAAGATGGCAAGAGTGTGTGGTAGTTTACAGCTAGCCAAGGGGCTTTCCCTCTCATTGTACAAGTGATTTTAAAAAATGTTTTAGAAGTGCTTGCACTGGCTTACCCCAGTACTGGAAACCACCTTTTTGTAAAGCAAAAGGAAGCTAAAGTAATCTTTCTTCTTGCTGTAGATGCAGCCTATGACCCAAAACATCGCTGTAAAACTTGTTTGTTTTCTATACATCTGTTTCTGTTTAACATTTGGGCAAATGCCCAGCTCGAAGCTTCATACCATTGCTAAGACACACTGACCTCACCCTGCTGCCAGCTCTGCTGTTGTAGCCTATGACCTTGCCTGAGCAAGATTTCATTTGAAGTTTTGGGCATAATTAGTGATTTTTACTTATTTATAGGTCTAGCTTCTAGTATTCCTATGATTTTAAAAATAGTATCCTGTAGAGAAATACCTTTTGTAACTAATGGTGGGGACAACTGTGACTCCTTTTGTATTGTTCAACTTCTGAAATATAATCAGCAGTTTCTAGAATACAGGAGAGAACAAAGCCTACCTTTTCATCAGCACTGTCTCCATCGGAAGGCTTAGAAATGTCCTTTC